CCCCAAAACCCCAAAACCCCAAAACCCCTATAAGAGAAAACTTTATTGAAAAATATCAGAAATAATAAAAAATGGGTGCTTCGCCATCAATTCCGGTACTCTCAGAGGAGTTTATAGGCAAATTATGCAGTGACGTTACCTTTAAGAAGGTAATAAAAAATCATTCAATGTATACCTCAGTTCTTGGAGAAATCGAAGGAGAAGGCCTAGTCCTTGTCAAGATCAGAGGCGATAAGATAATAGGAAGTTCGATACAAAATTTCAAGCAGCTTACTGATGTCAAGAGGAAGGTGGAGTCACTAAGTTCTTTAGTAGATATTGATCTCCATCCTAACCTATTACCCATCGAGCTCTTTGAACTCTTTGATTGAGGCATTACCATGAGTTTTAGACAATATATGTACTCAACTTTAAAGGAGAGACTTGGCCAAGTTCCAAAGATCGAAAATATACAGAAAAAGTGGATTACTTTTCAGTTGATTCACGCTTTGAAACAACTTCAGAATCTTGAAGGGTTCCATGGAAATATTACTCCTGAGAATATCACTCTAACTTCATCAGATTGGATCCATCTGACAGACTATATCAGTTATAGGCCAACATTTTTAGGTGAGGATGATCATCAGACAAATTCTGTCTATTTTGAAGATTTTGTTAATACAAAAAGATGTTACATTGCTCCTGAAAGATTCTTAAAGAATATTCACGACAGTCCCAAGATCACTAAAAAGGACGAGTTTGCAATGGATGTGTTCTCACTTGGCTGAATCATTGCTGAAATTTATAGAAATGGAAGACCTCTTTTTGATCTCCCTAAATTGATGGAGTACAAGCGAGGAGAGCTTGTTATTGACAAGAGCTACTTTGAGAAGGAGATCAAGAATGATCCCTTTATCATTCAAATAATTATCAGTATGATTAGCCCCAATCCGAGTGATAGAAAGACGATTGACCAGTATTTACACTTGTTCCTCTCAGAATCAATCGATAGTTCATCAAAATCTTTCCCTGAATCTTTTAATGATATCCTATACCCGATTGGAAAGGCTTTCTTGCAGCCTGAGTTCCTTTTCGGGGATGAGAAAATAGCAATGATTTATGAAACCACAAGTAAGACACAAGATTTACTGTTTAGGTTGGCCAACAAGTAACTTGGAATGCAAACCATTTGCTCTGAATCCAATCATTTTTCAGAAAATTAAGAAAGCACAAGTATTTAGAATTGGCAAAGCCAAGAATAATCGTGGTTCTGACCTCTCTCCCGTTGAAGAGGAGAAATATGAAGATTCTAAGGTAGCCAAAGACTGTGATGGGGAGGGACTCATCTTGTTCAATATGATTATTCACGCTATTCCTCAATGCCAGTTCCCATCCTCTAAGATTCTTGCAATGGAGTTGATCAAGAAGATCTCAGATGACTGAAAACTTAAGAGTGGAAATTTAATGATTAAATCACAGGATAATTCAAATGAAGCTATTTTAAAGTACATTGTCCCTCATCTGGTCAATTTGATTGTCAAGCCAGACTCTTCCCAGAAAGAAGATACTATGGTAAAGGCCAAAATGATGGAAGCTCTTATATACTGTTTGAAGAATGTCAAGGAAGGGCACCTAGCTCCAGAAGACTATAGATTCTTCCAAGATTACTTCTGCCCAGTCGTAATTGATAAATTCTTTGAAATTAGCGACAACTCTAGCTTCTTAGATGAACCATTAGTACAAAACACCATAATCAGGCATATTGGAGACATAGTAACTATTGGGGAGCAGTTTAAATATTTAACTCAGACAAGCATTTCAGACAGCTTTAGAGAGCTCAAGGAATCTGGCAAGGAGTAAGTTCTCTCACTAATTTTTAGAATAACTCGTGAGAAGAGAGCGTACTTGGAAAATATCCTTAACGATGACTCTAATTATGCAAATGACGTTGTGGGTAAAGTCTTTATATTCTTGAATAAATCTGCCAGGCATCCTATGGCAGTAGAGTTCCTAAAGAATCTGGACCAGATCTACTTCGGGCTTGGGAAAGCCACCTTTGAAGAGAACTTATTTCCTCATCTAAGTGAATGGATTTTGAGTGCCAATACTAATATTTTGTATGAATTCTTAAAGGTTATTGGGACCCTTCCCATAAAAACTAGTCAAATACAGGATAGCCTGGACTGTTTTTCAAAGATAGAAAATGGGTGAGGTGTTCAGGACATTATGCAATACTTGAACCCTGTCATTGCCAATTTTCTCGAGGCTAATCTAAACCAAGAGGAAAATAAAGATGAAGAAAATAAGGAAGAAACTGTAATATCAAGTATTTTCTCTGATCAAAAACTTTCCGGGACCAATGAACTTCAAACAGAAGATGTGATACCCTTCTTGAAACCTGGTGTATCTAAAGATCTTTATGATTACTTCAGGAGCCCCGAAAGCTTTATCAAGAAGGCCAAATTAGAAACCCTAAAGACAATTTTAGCATTGTATCACCTCTCAGTTGAAGACTACTACTTAAGGCCAGAAGATGTGGAGAACATCAAAGTATAATTTTACCCTTAATAGTATAGAACGACTTAGAGCAGGATCGGATTCTCAGTTTCCAGCATCACATTCAGAACTACAATGAGGTAGCATTATATAAGAAGGAATTGGATAAAAATACCTTTACTGACTCAGTGTACGAGAGTAAAATTGAGAAGGAAAAAGTGCCCTACTTCAGCAAGACCATCTCCGACGTATACTCCCAGCGTAAGAGAGCCTTTTCCCAGATTAATACTGACAAGGAGAAGATTGATTTCGAAAAGGAGCACCGCCTAGGACTATTAAAATCCCAAAATAAAGGAGAGTTGTATTACTATCCTGACGGGCCTAAAAGCTCTTCAGATAATTTCGGGATAAACACATTTGATGACGAAAGAGAAGCATTAAGGGACGAAGACATCTCTAGGTACTACGAGTCACTAAACTCGAACAAGAACCAGGGATGTATCAAATACTACATCAAAGAGTAAGCCTAGGTATCACTTTTTTAGGTTCCAAAGAGATCTAAACTTTGGCTCACAGTCCAAAGGCATGGATGCCTGCCTTTGGGACCCTGAGATGACTCTGGTGAACACTCTCTACAATTTCAATAATTACACTAATAAAATCCTAGATCTTGATGTTTCTCAAGATTCGAGGTACTTCACCAGTATTTCAGAGAGTAAGTGCTTTAGGCTAACTCTGTAGAAAATATTAAGATGTGGAATTGCCAAGATGTTAAGAAAGTAGAAGATATCTTTGATATTAACTGTACAAAGCCATTAACTTGAGTCTCAATGCTGGAAGGTTCTTACTCCTTTGTGACAGGTAGTAAAAACGGTACACTAGATCTGTATAGTCCATTTGAGTTTGAAGAAAAATCATCCTCAGCTCAGAGTAAGGATGACCTTCTTAAATCATGTTATATCATGAACAGGGTCACTCATCCTGATGAGGGGGCTATAGTTGATGTACAAGACAAGGTACTTGAAGCACAGAGAGAGCATTGTGTCATTTACTGCACTCAGAAAGGCTTTGTACATATTTATGATGTCAGAGCTAGGAACCCTGTGTTTAATTTCTACATTGGTCCAAGGAATAGCTGTATTAGCGCAATGGCTGTCGGCCCTAAGGAGGATCAAGCACTGATTGGTACTCTTGACGGAAGCATCATCACATATGACTTCAGGTACAATATGAAAGCATCTCACTGTAAGGGAACTGTCGGGTCAAGTATAATGAACATTCAGTCTTTCTACCCAAATAAGTACAGGAAATTCTTGTTCTACAATGCTTATCCAACCTATCCACTCGCATTCATTGCAACTGGTGATGGAAACGTGAGCCTTGTGGATATCTCGGGAAATACAGGTAGCTACGAGCTCCAGATAGTTATGTGGTCGAATTCTGGAGAAGAAAAGAATACAAACCTTAATGCTTTTAAATCAAGAGAATTAAATAATGCAGGAAGATCGGTCTACAAATCTTGAATTGCCTCTAATTCAGTGATGGGAACTTCCTCAATTCTTTCAAAGCCAAGCGAGAGGAAGAGAGTTCAGGAAAATATTCGGAATATTAATCAGAATTCCCAGACTGCAATGCTGTGTCCTAAGAGGGCAGGGGATAATCACTCTGCTTCATTCCTCCTTGGAGGAGACACTAATGGAAGACTGAGATACTGGAACATTGAGGATAAACACCATACTTGTAAGCATTTTTATCTGGCAGAAGGTGAAAAATTGCAGTATAAGAAGGGTAAGCATAGAAATACTTTCCATACCATGAAGGACAAAGTGGTCCAACTTGAAGATCAAGAAGAGTCCAAAAACTCATCAGATTTACTTCCAAAACTACCAGGAGTCCACGAGGGGCACTGCTCCTCGATAACAGCCCTGGGGATGCTCTATAAGGAGGAAATGGACGAGTAAGTGCTCTTTGGATAATGAAATTTTAGTGAAAATGAAGGGATTTATGCTATCTCTAGTTCCACAGACGGCACTATTAAGATTTGGAAATAAGTGATTTCAGTGAGCAAGGGGATTCTGGGGTTTTGGGGTTTTGGGGTTTTGGGGTTTTGGGG